TAGTTTGTCACCGGGTGCACAATGTGTGGTAATGATGAAGATGATGATGATGATCAGCACAAAGATTAAAAAATAAACCAAAAAGTTCATAATTTGAGCTTGAATGTCTTTAATCTTTGTGAAAAATGAAGTAAAATAAAACCTGAAAAACATTTAGGAGGTGAAGTCAAAATGCAGCCAGTTTTCCCACAAATCACCTCCGGGCGGCTGCGACGCTCTTAACGCCCAGAAATGATTTGTAGTTCTGGACGCAGCTGCTGGACTCTCACTTCAGACCCGTTTAACCTCCTGAACATGAAACATTTCAATAAAAGCTCAAACCGTGTCCGTCTACCTACGACAGAAGCTTGAATATTTGCCCTTGTGTCGGGCTGAACCCATCTGCCACGCCGTCATTAAACAGTCATTTGATGTTGGGGGCACGGGGGGGGGGGGGGCAGGTGATTAAAGTGTACTTTGGCTGGCCTTGGCTGCACTGCATGCTGGGAAGCCTCCAGCAATCCATATCCCCAGTCGGTGTGACCTAACGGGCTCGGCGAGGCCCAGTGAAGAACTCAATCCCGCTCATTAATGGAGGTAATGACTGTGATCAATCTAAAGTTGGTCTGAGCGAGTGAGGCCCCGACGGGGGGGTGGGGTGGGGGCTGGGGGGGGATGAAGACGTAGGAGACCGAGGGTCAGGTGAACAGAAAAGACCGAGCTGCAAAATAAAAGTACAGAAAAGTAAACAAAAGTTTAGGAGCAAACAAAGACACGTGTGAAAGTCCAAAAGGGGAGAAGCGATGAGATTAGGGGGTAATCGAATGTGTGATACAATTAAAGTGGAAGAAATTGAGACGATGGGAGAGATGAAGGTAACAAAGACTGGGATTAACTGGGAGGAAGATCAGGGCCGGTGCTGCGACCCTTCGAAATAGACCAACCTCGCGGTTTATTTATCTATTATTCTTATCGTCTATTTCCTCTCCCCTGATTCTCCCTGTGGTGATGGAGGATCTAAAATCCTTCGTCTTTTCAGTCTTTCAGGCCCCCCCCCCCCGAAGATCTGATTAACTCTAAATGAAGCCGGATTAGAGCCTTTAATTAAAACGACCGGGCTGTAATCTACGCTCCTCGCTGCTGTCACATTTCATCACTTCCGCCCAGCTCGTTAGCACGACGTGAGAGTTTTAATTCAGACATTTATACAGCGATGGTGCGAACTTTGAACGGGTTTGTTCCAGGAGGCGGGACTTTCAGTTTACACAGATTTATTTTCCAGTTTCGTTTGAAAACAAATGATCAGCACCCAGTTTTCGTCCAAAAATACTCCAGTTTGTCCGGATGCTGATTTTTTTTTACTACGACACAAAGAAAAGCCACGTCCTGGACGGTCTTTGCATGAAGACCAGAAGGTTTTGATGGTACTCCAATAAACTGCATCAGGTATTAAAAGAAAAACATTTCTTACAAAAACGATCCCGGACACGAACAGAATTCAAGGTTAAAGGCTAAAAATCCCGACTTCAACTTGGATTATAAATCAGACCATGATCGCCAGATATTGGGCTTCAGATTTCATTGGTGCCAAAATGTTACAAACAAAATCCAGACGATCAATATTGAACAGCTGTTTACAGCTGGCTTCAATAAAAAGAGCCAAAAAGTGTAAAAAAAAAAAAAAAAAAAGGTTCTGTCTTCCATGTTCTCCCTTGTTTGGTCAGTATTTCCCAAAATGCACCAAAAGTATCTTCAGACACTCCAGTAACCAAAATATATAAGATTAGATGTAAAATGTCATCTTTTCTCAGGCTTGTAGCAAAAGAATGACCCCCCCCCCCCGCCCCCAATTAATGATTTACACCAAATTTCATGTATCTACACATTATTTCCCTATTTCATGTTGCTTCGTATTAAAGTCATACTTTAATGTTTTAAGGTGTATTTTAAGTCTAATGATGTTAATTAAATATTTGTACTTTCAAATAATAAAATTGTTCCTATCAACTTCTTTAGGAACATAAGAACGTTGTACAATTCTTCCCAGATTCTAAGGCTGAAAAATGAAACCAGAAATGACTAAAATAACTTTTAGTTTATTAAACATAGGCTTATATCTGTAACCATACTGTCAGTAATAACGCATCGATGCTTAATTTCAGTGTAGGGATCTTTGCAGAGTCTTGTAGAAGAAGCTTCTACGTGTAGATCGTATGACGAACATCCACATGTGAGGCTTCATAAAGGTTCATGTACTCATCTGGCTCTTCATCTTCAGATTCATGTGTACAGAGTCTCACCTTCTTCATCCTCGTCGTGCTGTTGTTGAAGGCCAGAGGACTCTTTCTGAAGCACGTCGTGCATTTCCAGGGGAGTCGTACGGTTTATCTTGTAACCATTCTCAAGCTCACCCGGGTCTGTTGTTGACTTGATGCCATGCAGAACTTTGTTCGAGCCTCACTGATCTTCCTCTGGTCGGTCGTGTTTCCTTTGAAACATGGTCCTTCGACTTCAGCCCAGCCCGTGTAAGAAGCAGATCGGTGGCGCTGCGAGACGACCGTGTGATCGTCCACCGGAGGCTGAGATGATAACGCACCTTCATGGTGATAATTTGTTCCCAGCAAACTAAACTGGGATCA